AACAAAACTTGAGTTATTGACGTTTTTAGTTATTTCATCTTACAATTTTTACAATTTTAATAACTAAAAACGTCAATAACTCAAGTTTTGTTGGAGCTACAGCAAAATTCCGGGTACGAAAATGACCGCCTCAATGTCTTCTTTCGAACCATGTGTCGCACAAGATGGAAAAATATGGTAAGGTCAAAGGTCACCGGGGTCAATGACCTTTTGTGACCTGGTCACAATGTGTAATACATTTCTGGATAGACCGTGTCAAGACAATTACTTTTTGTCATTAGGTACTTTGGGCCATCTTGCTCAGGGACAAAGTTACAGAGGCTCAAAGACATTTTACCAGGAAATTTGCTCGGAAAACCACGTTTTTTAATCTTTTTATTTTTTTATTAATTTAATATCAAAAAACGCCATCTGGTTTATTTTCCTATATAGCGTAAAATTTTACGCTCTACAAAATGGCTATTTCAGAATAAAAATAAAATTGGGGGATAAACTTCAATTTTGAGGTCAAAGGTCACGAGGTCACCGGAAGTGACCTTGCACTTTGACCTACGATTTTGCAATCAACAGCAAAGTTGTAGAGGGCAACAAGACGAATTCAACCATATCCAGAATTTTGTTCTACAACCACGGGAAGCCAAGATACAGTTGATTGAAAATTTCCAAAATCCAAATTTGAATGTCCCGTAAAACCCATAAATTTCGAGATAACGGGGTAAAACTATATATTTTTGAAAACCTCCTGGCATGATCTTTAAGGTCCTAGAATATGGTTAAGATCGGTTGACCCTGCCAAAAGTATACACCTTTCAAATATTTTCGCCGCTATATTTTTTCAAATTCTAGTACTAAAATAAAGAGTCATTCTCTCGTCTATGTGAACAATTTACAAAAAGGTGGTCTTGTGCTACTTTCTCTCGTCTATGCGAACAATTTATAAAAAGTAGGTCTTGTGCGTTTTTCTCTCGTCTATGTGAACAATTTATAAAAAGGAAGTCTTGTGCGTTTCTCTCTCGTCTAATTTAAAAATTTATAAAAAGGAGGTCTTGTGCAACTTTCTCTCGTCTATGCGAACAATTTATAAAAAGTAGGTCTTGTGCGTTTTTCTCCCGTCTAAGTTATCAATTTATAAAAAGTAGGTCTTGTGCGTTTTTCTCTCGTCAAAGTTAACAATTTATAAAAAGGAGGTCTTGTGCGTTTCTCTCTCGTCTCAGTTAACAATTTATAGATAGGAGGTCTTGTGTGACTTTCTCACGTCTATGTGAACAATTTATAAAAAGGAGGTCTTGTGCAACTTTCTCTCGTCTATGCGAACAATTTATAAAAAGTAGGTCTTGTGCGTTTTTCTCTCGTCAAAGTTAACAATTTATAAAAAGGAGGTCTTGTGCAACTTTCTCTCGTCTATGCGAACAATTTATAAAAAGTAGGTCTTGTGCGTTTTTCTCCCGTCTAAGTTATCAATTTATAAAAAGCAGGTCTTGTGCGTTTTTCTCTCGTCAAAGTTAACAATTTATAAAAAGGAGGTCTTGTGCGTTTTTCTCTCGTCTATGCGAACAATTTATAAAAAGTAGGTCTTGTGCGTTTTTCTCTCGTCTAATTTAAAAATTTATAAAAAGGAGGTCTTGTGCAACTTTCTCTCGTCTATGCGAACAATTTATAAAAAGTAGGTCTTGTGCGTTTTTCTCTCGTCTATGCGAACAATTTATAAAAAGTAGGTCTTGTGCGTTTTTCTCCCGTCTAAGTTAACAATTTATAAAAAGGAGGTCTTGTGCTACCAGTTAGTCAATAATTTCAAAAATGCGCCAGGACTAAAAAATTTGGGGCTGAAAATTTTTTGCCCCAAATTTTTTAGTCCTGACGCTTTTTTGAAATTATCGACTAACTGATGCATTTGCCCCAGTCCTCTGAATATATAGCAAGCAAACTCTATATTTTTTCAAATTCTAGTACTAAAGAGTCATTCTCTCGTCTATGTGAACAATTTACAAAAAGGTGGTCATGTGCTACTTTCTCTCGTCTATGCGAACAATTTATAAAAAGTAGGTCTGGTGCGTTTTTCTCCCGTCTAAGTTAACAATTTATAAAAAGGAGGTCTTTTGCTACCAGTTAGTCAATAATTTCAAAAAAGCACCAGGACTAAAAAATTTGGGGCTGAAAATTTTTTGCCCCAAATTTTTTAGTCCTGACGCTTTCTTGAAATTATCGACTAACTGATTTATTTGCCCCAGTCTTCTGAATATATAGCAAGCAAACTCTATATTTGTTAAAATTCTAGTACTAAAATAAAGAGTCATTCTCTCGTCTATGTGAACAATTTACAAAAAGGTGGTCTTGTGCTACTTTCTCTCGTCTATGCGAACAATTTATAAAAAGTAGGTCTTGTGCGTTTTTCTCTCGTCAAAGTTAACAATTTATAAAAAGGAGGTCTTGTGCTTCCTTCTCTCGTCTATGTGAACAATTGAAATAAAAGAGGTCTTGTGCGTTTTTCTCTCGTCCAAGTTATATAAAATAAATTTATTAAAAGTCGCTGATTTTGGAAATTCATTTTTAAACCCAGCGAGGGTCAACTTAAGTTTTTTCAAAATCAAAGAATCAAAATAGTCCAATACGTCTAACAATAAGTCTTTAATTTTGTAACCTTCTCATGACAGTGTAATTCCGTGTCATGACAGCGTAATTACGTTTCAATAATGGAATGCGTCTATTAAAAGTCACTGATTTTGGAAATTCATATTTAAACCCAGCGAGGGTCAACTCATTAAAAATTCGACTATTTCCGAACATAGACCCAGGTCACGCGGCGTGAGTAATTCATCACGCGGCGTGAGAAGGATTGATTAAATTATTTTTTAAATTCACGACTTTCATTGAAAACTCATTAAAAAATGGAATAGTTCTTAAGAGCTACTTAAGAAGTCTTAAGACACTCTTAAAAATTCTTAAGACACTCTTTAGAATTCTTAAGAACTCTTAAGACTCGTTTTAATGAATTTGAGAACTCACGCAGACAGCAGTTTACCCAAGAGACGACCCGCACTCACAGCTTATTAGTGGCCTTAAAGAGTAGACGTGTTTTTGTTCAAATTTCAAAAACCGCGCAGGAAGCTATAGCTTTTTTTCGTTGATGAAAAAGTGTAGCTGCACACTGAAAAGTGATATATTTTCATGCAATCAACTTTTTAAACTGATACACTCTTTATATATTAAATAGAATAGTCCTGTTGGTCTAAACCTAAGTTTAAATTTAAAATTTAAGAAAATAATAATTATTTGTATTTAGTTTTATTGATGAATGATAAGCCACTTTTAGTTCAAGAGCAATAATTTTAATTAATTTGCCATGTGTTCGAAAAGATCACTGCACATTCATTCTTAAGAAGTCTGAACTCTAATTCGTCTAAATGAAAATTTTCAAAATTCACGACAATGGCGATATTTTTCAAATTTTACATCTTCTGAATGAAACCAGAATTGTCAAATTTTGAGCAATAGACGATAATTTTGCTAATTAAGCGAAGTCCTGAATTTTGAAAATTTTACAGTAGTCGTGTATTTTAAAAATTCGCAATGTATAATTCGCGTTCGTGTATGTTAAATTGTTCCACTGTACATAACAGTGTGATATCCGTTGGCACAATGTCTGCGTGAGTTCTTAATAGCTCATTAAGAAGTCTTAAAACTCTTAAGAATTCATAAGAACTATTAAGAAGTCTTATTAAGAAGTCTTAAGAACTCTTAAGAAGTCTTAAGAATTCTAATTCGTCTAAATGAAAATTTTCAAAATTCACGACTATAGCGATATTTTTCAAATTTAACGTCTTCTGAATGAAACCAGAATTTTCAAAATTAGAGCAATAGACGAGAATTTTGCAAATTAAGCGTAGTCCTGAATTTCGAAAATTTTACGGTAGTCGAGTATTTTAAAAATTCGCAATGTATATTTGGCGTTCTTGTATGGTAAATTGTTCCACTGTACATAACATTGTGATCTCCGTCGCGTTTGCACACTGTCTTCGCGAGTTCTGTAGAGCTTCTTAAGAACTTAAGAAATCTTAAGAAGTCTAAAGAACCCTTAAGAAGTCTTAAGAACTCTTAAGAACTCTGAAGAAGTCTTAAGAACTCTAATTCGTCTCAATGAAAATATTCATAATTCACGACAATAGCGATATTTTTCAAATTTTACGTCTTCTGAATGAAACCTGAATTGTCAAAATTTGAGCAATAGACGATAATTTTGCTAATTAAGCGTAGTCCTGAATTTTAAAAATTTTACAGTAGTCGTGAATTTTAAAAATTCGCAATGTATAGTTCCTGTTTGTGTATGTTGTTCCACTGTACATAACAGTGTGATATCCATTGGCAGGTCTGCGTGAGTTCTTTAGAGCTTCTTGAGTAGTCTGAAGACACTCCTAAAAAGTCTTATGGCACCCTTAAGAATTCTATATAAAAATCGTTAAAAATTCGGGACTTTATTGATATTTTCAAAATTACACAGGAAGAATCCTGTATTTTCAAGACTTCATCTCATTCAATTCTTCAAACGGAAACTAATAGGATGGGAGATGGAATTGAATTAGCTGAAGCTCAAAGTCCTTAATCGTGGATTATTTTAATTCGGCCATTTTGAAGTCACTGTTCACATTTCATACTATTCTGCCTGGCGCTTGGATGCCAAACTTCTCATTGTCAGCATACTTATTTTTCCCTTCACCTCAGCCGGAAGACAAATTCAAACTTGATTTACAGGTGGGCTTTGAATTTGGGCAATGCAACGCATTCCCCAGCTCCACCAGTGATGGGGCAAAATAAGCATTATTCAGCGCTTTGCGATGTACAGAGTTCCTTTCTACCAATTAACACATCACCATGTACTCCTATTTGAATTAATAAATTCCCAACCACTGAGTATGCAACCTGCTCTACACGGCAAACGAGTCAGTTGCATAACTTTTTTTTGGAAGCAATTTTTAAAATATCACCAAAAGGTTCAATTGTGACGAAAACGGGGTCGCTCGATACTACAAAATTCCCAAATTCCACGTTTTATCTCAAAAGTCAGCAGATCCATTTCGTTTCGGCCACTTCTTGGCCAGCTTCCAGTTTTCATAGTCGAGTTTGTGCGCGCAGACACGGCGAGATTATTGCACGCCCTACAAGGAAGGCACTCTCATTTTAATAAAGCGAGAGAAAAATAATGCGGCAGAAAGTTAGTGTTGTCGGCGGCGGCTCACTTGGCTCGGCAGCGCCTCTGACTCGCCTCGTTGTTACCTCCGGCTAGAATCATTTGCCAAAAATGGACCTAAATCAAGAGTGCAGGTGAGTGAACACTTATCATAATTCTTACATTATCAGTTTAAGAAAGAATGTTTCGTCAAGTTTAATGAGTGGGAAAGATTTCTTAAAATTTAAAGTACATGTTAGGTAAATTGTGAAAAAAATTTTTTCATTGGAATTTTTATTTTAAATTAATTAAAGAAAACTTTGCTTTTTAATAATATATGTTAAAAATCGTTTTTTTTTTTAATATTTTTTATTAAATTTAAAAAGAATAAAGGATCCTGTTTTAGTTCATAGTTATAAACTAAACGTTTTTTTTTTTAATTATTACTTGTTTTATTTATTTGCTTAATAAATAATATTGATTTAAAATTACAATTTTCAATTTACTTTGAATTTAAATAATTTACAAGGATTGTGGACGTTTTCAGGGAGACATTCATAACTGCTTCTCTCTGGTTATACAAACCAGTTTTCGGTTTGCTCGTTCATGTACGACCTTTTCGATAGTTGACTCGCACGCAAACGTTCTTTCACACTTTTTTTTATATGATTTTTGATCTTCAGTCGTGGAGACGAACTTGCTGATCAGGAGGAAGAAGAGAAAAATATCTTGCTCGGTGGTTCTGCACCGCCGCGAATAATTTCAAAAGTCGCAAGTCAAAATTTGAAGGAAGGAAAATGCAAAGAAGTAAATTTTTAATTTAGGTAAAATTATTTTTAAACGTAATTTCTATCGCAGATCGTGACAGTCCTCTTGGCCGACTTGTCCTCGCTTGGAAATGGGATGATTTTGGGATACTCGGCCATTGCCCTGCCGCAGCTGCAGCACCCTGAAAGTTGGCTGCCAGTCACAGAGGACGAAGCTTCATGGATAGGTGAATAAATTCCTAATTTTTCTTTTATGTGTGTCTAAATTTTTATTTAAAAGTCCAAGATGAAGATATTTTTTCAGCAAAATTGGTTCTCGGTAGGTTTTAATTTTAAAAATGTTATTAATTTTGATTATTTTAAAAACTATTTACGAATCAATTCAGTTATTAAGTTAATTTTAAAAAATTAATCAGCAAAATATTGCAAAAAATTAAAAAGTGTAATTTTTCTAAATAAAACATGCGGATTTCAGGATAGATTGTGAACCAAATTTAAAATAATTAAAAAATTCAATGCTTATTTTTCTATTTTAAAGATTAAATTTTTTAAATATGCAAATAAGGAGTACTTTCTCTTGAGCAATTATATTGTTCGAGAGCAGCTGTTTCCAGCAGCAAAACAGAATAATCAATGGTGTGCCCTATCAGCCTGATCAACAGCTCAGATTCAGGGCCAATATCAATTGATCTTTCTCTCTCGGAAGAAGAAGAAGTGCACTTATTTATCGGTCAGCAAAAGCATGTCCGACCGATAAATAATAATGAGCAGCGTCGGTGCGCGCGCGTGACCTAAAAGCAAAACTAATGAGAGAGCGAGTGCACTTGTTGGAAAGTGAACAATTGCCATGCGATTGTGGCAAATATTTACCAACTTCTATTAGCGTCAATTATTTTGATTCTGATGCGCAAAAAAGTTTGTTTTCTTCAATGTCTAATGCTAAAAAATTTAATACATAATGCGCAATACTTTTCTGTCCATAAAGATCTACTGTTTATTTTGAATCGCATAAAAATTTCACCCAGATGTGGCATAATTATATTATGAAAAATTTCATTTCTAACAAAAGTCTGTTTTGTCAATAGTAAAACCTGCAGAAACTTCAAAAATTTCAATTTCAAGACTTACGATCATCAAAAGTTTGGTGTCTTTAAAGAGAAAGTTTTAATTAAACGTTTCCTGAAACTCTTCAATTTAATAAGATTGAAATTCCAGAACTAATCTAGCTAGTAAAATTTCTGTCCAAAAATTTTGAATTCTAATTTAATATTATTTTGTTTTTAATTTAGCAAGTTTGGCTGCGTTGAGTTTCGCCGTCGGCAGTTTTCTCGTCGGCTTTATCATGGACAGATTCGGCCGGAAACGAACGCTGCAAATTCAATGCGTGCCGAATTTCATTGGTTGGATTCTTCTGGCCCTGTCCACAGAAGTGCACACGCTGTACATTGGCCGCCTTCTCACCGGTCTCGGCGGCGGCATGGTTGACTGCACAATTCAAGTATAGAAAATTAATTTTTATTGTAATTTAATTAAATTAAAAACATCTAAATATGAACATATTTGATTTAAAAAATATTTAGATTGGGATAAATTTGTATGTCAATGTTTTGACGTTAAATTGTTTGATAATTAACGTTGTTAAAAATTACATTTAATTATTTAATTTCAACTACATCAATTTTATTAAAATTTTATAATTTGTCGATGTTATGAAGTCTTTTTACTTATTTCAATATCATTTATATTTCAAGAATCTGTCCCAATCGATCCTAATGCAGAATAAATGATATTTTTTTTATTAAAAATTGTTAGTAATTAATTAAATTACTAACAAATAATTCAAGCAAATCAAATTAATATGAAAATATTCGGAAAGGTTTACATAAGTGAAATCACAACCCCACATTTGAGAAACTTTTTGGCCTCGACGCCCAGTCTGATCTTCTCCATGGGGATGCTGTCCGTGTACACCATGGGCGCTTTCCACCTGCAGTGGAACCTCATCGCCGCAATTTGTGCGGTCGTCCCTCTCCTCCACTTCATGGTGCTCATTTTCCTACCTGAGAGTCCTGTGTGGCTTCAAGGCCAAATCTCTGATGAAACTAGGTTTGAGAATTAATTAAAATCATTAAAAAGGAACTGACAACTTCCAGAAAATCAAATTGTATTCGTTGATGTAAGATACAAAATTGTTTGAAAAATTACTTTCCGACAAAATTTTACGGAATCATTGATTTCCAAAGTTAAAAATTGAATAATTCGATCAATATTTCTCCAAATGAAATTTTTTATCAACATTCAAATCATGAGGAAACAATTCTTTTTAAATTTAAAAAAAATTAGATCTTTCAAAAAATTTAATTCGTTCTCACGTCTTTCAGTTCAAAATCGCCATGTGATTCTGCGTGGAAGTCGCTGATCTCGAGACACACTCGGCGACCGCTGCTCATCCTGGTTGTCTTTTTCTTCTTCCAACAGTTCTGTGGAATGAACGCCGTAATTTTCTACGCCGTTCAGATTTTCCAGTCGGCCGAAGGTGGCATTTTGACCGACGACCAGTCAGCCGTGGTCATCGGAGCAGCTCGACTCGTCGTCATTTGCGTCAGTTGCGCGATTCTCTCGAGAGTCGGTCGACGACCTGTGTCCATAATCTCGGGGATTGGCATGGCCCTGTCCATGCTGACCCTCGGCACTGTGATCCACCTCCAGGGCAAACCACCCTTGGCAGCATCTCTGACATGCATGACTGGATTCATTGCATTCAACACTTTTGGTAAATATTGAAATGAAATATTACATTGATTACTCATTTTTTTTATAGCAAATGAACGTGAAAATGGTATAAATTAAAATAAAAATGTTCTGCAGAGTTTATACACTTCTATAGTCTTAAAAACCTTGCCTTCTAATCTTCAAAGCTTTTCAAACTATAACTTGAACAAGTTTTTCTGGTTTTTTATGGATATCAAACAATAGAAAAATTATCGTTTTTAAGCCATTATTTTGAAAGTATGAAAAATTTCCCTTAAAATACAATTCAATTCAATTTTTTTAAATATTAATTTCAGGATATTTTTTAATTTCTCAAAATCTGATAAAAAGTACTCCAAAATCAGGTTTATTTAAAATTAATTGATACCGCAATCGCTTTAATTTAATCCAGCTTTCATACAAAAATTATAATATAATATATCAGTTATTCTCAATTTTTTCTTAAAATTTCAGTAATGAATTTTATATTTATATAGAATTTTCAATTTCAACATATTTATTCTGATATTTTTGTCAGGATTTTTTGCTATTCCTTGGGTGATGCTCGGAGAACTGCTTCCTGAGAGATGCAGAGGATTGGCTTCAGGGATCATCTCAGCCATCGTCTACATTTACATTTTCATCGTCGTCAAATCCTACCCTTACATGTTGACCTTGTTGGGAGAAGGAAGCGTTTTTCTAATCTTCGGAATGATTTCAATTTTGGGAACGGCCTTTGTCCACTGCTTTTTGCCCGAGACAAAGGGCAAGACGCTGCTTGAAATTGAAGAGTCGTTGAGAAAGTGAGCAGCCATAATTACAAATCTCATTATCGCATTTAACCTTGATGTTACGCGTCGATAGGTATTCGAATGATAATAAATGAATTCAAATCAACACTTCCTTCTTTATTGATCTCTCGTTATTTCACATGTACAGGATGTTTGGCACAAACACTTCTTGTTACAAACCGGCATCAAAGTCTAATTATTGTTATACTCGACGTGGAACACAACAAGTCATCAAGTAGATATAGCAACAGCAATCTCAACTAAGAAACTAGCAAATCAAGTGTTTTCAAAAATAATCGTATTTATTTTTAACAATTTTCGTAATGTTTATAATAATTAAAACAGGGTTTGAAAAAAATTGCACACACTCTCTCTTAAAATTGGCCTGTAAGAAAATAATACATTGGAAATTTCCGCAAAATTTTGAGACAAATTTTTTACTTAAGTACTAAAAGTGCGACGAAATTTGTTTGTTTTTTTGACAGTGTGAATTTTAAAAATAACTTAAAACTACAAAGATATTCGTACGTTTTCTGACCGAAAAGAGTACTGAAATTTTGAAATAAATAGTTAATTCTGAAGATTCGTTTCGATATAAATGCAATCGATGCAGATATTTCTACTCTCGCGCTGGGCCTGAGATGGAACTCTCGGAATGATGTTCAGGCCTGTCGAGTTTACACACATTGCTATGTATTGCGTCGAGAAGGAACTATATCAAAACATTACGTTTCGATTTCAAAACCTTTGGAATTGGTCACTAAAATTAAAGGAAAATCAATGATAAATTGCCATAGAAAGCCCCCATACACTTCTCGACCTGAACTTTGGATTTTGTTTTTGGAAGTATAGCGAGTATAATCACCATTTTTCAAGACTAGAGAGGGGGCATGAGAGCTCTTTTGGGCTAAGATTCGAAAAATTACAATCCACTGGTCTCTTTTTTGCGTAAATAAAGGGTAAGAAGTTTTATACAATTTATAAATCATTCTCATCAAAATTGGAACGTGCTTTTCTTGATTAAAATTTATCAAAACGAGGATTACATGATCAGACTGGATGATATTCCAAGCAAGACTTCTTGTGACAAAGTTTGTTCGTAGCTTTTTGGAATAAATTTCTTTCTTTTTCGGAAGTTATAGTTTCGACAGTTGTTTATCTGAGGTCGTTTTCGTTTGGGTGTTTCGTCAACTCTATCACAGTAAAATTTCAACTGTTCTACTCGGTGTAGCTACCTATGCAGTATAAGACCCTTGTCAATTGCACGTGAATTATTAACTCCATTATTTTATACCGCGTTTTTAAACAGAAAGGCTCCGAAACACGTGTGTATAATAATTTTCTCCCTAAAGACGATGGAACTGTGTGAAATAAACAGCACAGCAGACAAAGATTAGTGTTACAATAATTACTTAAGTCAGCACACGTACTTTTCTTTTCCCAAAGAGAGGATTTTTTCACAGCTTGTGCTTCTCTTTTTTTGCTAACTGCTCTCATTTCCGAATTTCGATCTATTGGTCCAGCCAATTTTCAGTTTTGCTCAAAAAAATAAGTCCGAATCGAGATTTCCGTTTTCTTCTTCGAATATATCAAAATTTTACAAGCCAATCGTAGCAGTCTTTGGTATGGTTGGGCAAAGTTTTAAAAATTATTCGGTGATGTAAATGTCGTCGTCGCCGAGAGCGTAAAGGACGCCGAAGGCCATGGCGAGGAGGCTGATTCCCAAGAGGTCGCCGAGAGCTGTCAAATATGGAATGGCCGAGTTGTCGGGATCAATTCGCCTCTTCCACATCCAGTGAATCATGATGAAGGCGATGTACAAAAGGAGACCGACCTAAAGAGCAAACAAAAAACAAAATTTTGGCATAAAATCAAACTTCAGTTAAATAAAATTTAAAGGTTAAATAAGTAAATCTCATATAGTTCTGATTTTGAAAGTTTTATTTTATTTGAATCATGCCGATCAAGTTTTTCCTTAATTTTGATCCAAAAAGGTTGAAATAATTGTGCAAAAAACTCATGTATTTAATATTTGAGGTTTGCTACGTTAGAATTTATATATTTTTGAGACTTGTTTGAAATGGGAAAAATCCGACATTAATTGATTTTTGTCTCACCTGAAGTTGAGCGGCGACCAAGTATCCGGCGACGAAGAGCGGTGACATGTTGCCGTTGCCCACTTTGATGTAGTTGATGGTGTAGATGAAGATGAGGTGGCCTGGCACCACCATGGCCATCAGGACCCTTGAGGTGCGCGCGTGCAGACTCTTGCCGAAGAAGGACTGGCCAGGCGTGATGCAGACCCTGCTCTGGCCGCCCTCCTCCTCGTCCAGCATTCCAGGCTGGAAGTCCCTGTGCAGGGAGGTTGAGATTCTGCTCGCGTGCACCGCCACCAGGTTGCCGCCGACGCCGTTGATGACCGGTTGGAAAACGGCGAAGCCCTCGAATCGCGCCACCATCCCCTCGAGGATGAAACCTCCAGAGCTGCCAGGAAAAAAGTTCAATTTTGTTTAGATTGCTATTGCTGTTAAGTCTTGTAGTAAAGTTGTAACAATTATCACTGTTTTAATTTGAAAACTAGTTTGGCAGAAAAGGAATTTTTGGACAAAATGGCACCACCAGTATCAAGGATTTTGCTTAAATTTAAACATACCAGTTTCTTTTATAATGTAAATTTGGAGTAATTATATTTTTTGAACCTAACGCGTCAAGGGTCAGACTAAAGTGACCTAATTTAAATTCATTATTTGAAAATTTGGGTGGATTTTTTTAATTTATTAAAGAAATATTGCCGTTTTAGTAATAAAATCAGACCTATTCAATAAGCTTTAATTTTGAATAACAATTTATTGTTTTACCTGCTGATCATCATGGCGATCACCACTGGGGTCCAGCCAGTGTAGAGGACTTCGTGGGTGTACTTATTTTTTTTGGCGATCCAAACCCACAACGGCGTGACTAGGACGAACCCTGAGATGATGAGAGGTGCGAGCCAGTCTTGTTTTCCTGCAAATATAATTTAAGTTTAGTTTCAACTTTTTTGTTTTAAATTTTTTTTCAAAAACGCACCCACAGCGTGGTACAGATGGGTCGACGTCCATGAGAGGAGGGCGAGGGAGATGATGTCGCCGAGACTGGCCGCGATGGGCGTGGCCACGTTGTCGGGGTTGATGTTGCAGTGCCTGGAGAAGACGATGACGGCCGCCGTGATGAGACCTGCGAGGGCAAGCGTTCATTTTTTAACTCGATTTATATTCGCGAGCGAGGGGTCAAGCAGGTCGCCATGTGACCTGCGCGCCCCCGCTGTCTTAGTTACAATTGCTTTCGTTTTATCTCTGGTATGTAAATGGAAATGTACCTAGGACGAAACTGGCGATTGATGCCGTCACGAGGCTGCTGGCGATCAGAAGAAAAGCGTGGTCCAAGTTGAAGGTCTGGGTCTTGCTGGCCTCCATGATCAACGCGGCCACCGAGCCGAGAAAGCCGACCACAATAGCTTGGCACTGCAATTTTTATAACAAAGACCATTGTTACATAAGATGGTGCAAGATAACTTTTATATTAATATATAATACAATGAATTTAAAGGGATTTTCAATTTTGTGGCCGGTTCAAAATAAATTTAAGGGAAAAAAAATAAAAATTCTATTAAAAAAAACCATCCAAAATTTTAATTTCAAATAGTATTTTATTGTAATTTAATTCAATTGCTTATAATATTCAAATCTTTTTTCTCAAAATTCAGCTTTGAATTTCAATTTTTGCCCTGTTTTTAAATTAATTATAGTTTCAAGAGGAATAATTTATTTGTAAATGGGTAAATAAAATACAGCTTTTATAATTAAAAATCGTCTTTCAAGAAAGAGATAATTAGTTTTTTTTTGCCAATTTTATTTCTAATTTCAAATAAAACTTTCAAATTCAATTCTGTTTTTAATGAATAAATTAATTTTCACACCTGAATGAGTGTTAAATTTGCTGCAATCATGCTCCACTGCTCTTTTGGAGTGTCCATGTGTCCCAAGTTGGCCTGAGTGCTGAGTCTGGACGCGAGTGTCATTTCCAGATTTCCCTTCAACCCCAGCAGGGCAGGCACCAAAATCATCAACTCCTTTACCTCCATAAACACTGACCAATGCTGCAAAAGGAAAAATATTTTCAAATTTCATTTAATTTTCTTGTTGACAAACCTGAACGACGTCTAGAACAAGTCCGGCTCCAACCATTCCAAGTCCAGCTACCAAGAACGGAATAAAAACTTGAATGGCCATAGCCCTGTAGCTCTCATCCTTCCTCTGAACCACCTCCGCAGGGTCCGCTAACATTGTTGTCTCCGCCACCACGTCTGGCAAGCGTCCGCCGTTGGTGTCGCCAGGGTCGTCCACGAGTTGCTCCTTGACCACCTTGGCAGACACGCAAGAATGCAATTAGGCAATGTGCAATATTTTTGTGCATAAATATAACCGCGCATGGCTAAATAGACGGGCGGTCGGTGACCCTTGCATTGATCAGAGATTTTTCTGTCGGTTTTAAACTTAAAGACCATCACACGGCAAATTTTTTTATTTTAAATTCTGAAAGTAACGAAAAAAATCGAAATCGGGATAAAAAAATTTGCACTCTTTAAAGGTTGAAACCTTTATTATTAGCGGCTTTTATTATTCCCGCTAAATTAATTTGAACTTTTTAAGCTTGTAAGAATAAATCACTTTTGATTCCCTCAAAGGTTCAAATGATTTGGGAAGGAAAAGACAAAGGTGTGAATTTTTAATCGCAATTTAGATGATAATGATGAAATCTAGCTTACTTTTGGAATAATTTTACTTTATTATTGACCTGTATGATACTTTAAACTTTAAATGTCATGAATATTACTTTCATTTTTTAAATAATAAACATATTTTTCATTTCCTTTTAAAAATTCTAGTTGAAAGAATGCAGTTAATTAAAAAATAATGAATTTTTATATATAAATTAATAAAAATGGACATTTTAAAAAAAAATCAAAATTTGGATTCCAAACTAACTTTTTCATAGTTGAATACCTGGATGGTAATGGGGTCGACGATGAGCTCGACCACCTCTTCGCCCAGACAAATGGGCGCGGTGGCGTCCTTGTCCTTTGACAGCATCCTCAGCAGCTTTGATGGAGTCGAGGCCGCGGCGGCCGATTTTACTTTTGATGCCGAAATGGTTGCTGCTTTCGGAGAACGGGACCGTCAGAAGAGACGCAGCTCGCGATGAAGCTTGGTTTAGGGTGAGTGTTGGTGTTGTGGTCGACGTTGGGTAGCTCCAAACCGGATCTGGGCATACCCTGTACAATGCAGCCCCCTGCCAAACAGAGAGAGAAGGAAACTTTAATTTTGTGAAATGCAACCGGTTGAGCTCGAGTGTCTGGCGGGTTGTCGACCCTCGTTTTTTTTTATTCGCCGAATCAGAATTTTGTTGGCTGGGGTCATGGCTGATCAAGTTTGGTCTGCAACACGAGGGGACCGGCTCGTCTATCTCTCGGCGGCTCATTTTCTGGCTGAATTGCGCGAACGGCGTGAAATTTGAGTCTGTCTAGACGGACTGGCATAATTTTTCGCTCAGGTAGCATTCGCGTGTGTGGAAGAAAATTTCGCTCATATGTCGCGGTATAAGAACTAAGAGGAGAGCCTAAGTGAATCTGTGCAGTACTTGTCAATTGTTCTGAGTGATGCAGAACTTAAAAATAATAGCGGGAATAATAAAAAGACAAAAAAAAGTATTTTTAATTGTTTCAATTCGCGCTAATCATACCAATGAAACTTTAAAATTGTGTTTTTTTGATTAAAATATTAAATTTATTGAATAATGTTTTTAAAATACTTATAGTTTTAAATTTATTTCAAATTTCTGGATAATTCAAGAATTTTGGCGTAAATTTTGATTGCTATTCTCATTCTTTTGCCTTATTTACCTTGTTTAATTGAAAACCCCTTTAAAGAGATTTTTATGTCTTTAAAAATAAAAATATATTAAATTTGATTTATTTCTATAAAGAATTTAAAAATATGTTACAAAAAACGAATTTGCTTAAAAAATTATCTTCACCAGGGACTTTTTGAACTTAAAAATCGTCTTTTGAGAAAAACAGAAACTTTTTCCGGCATAAATAAAATTAAATATTTGTTAAAGCCCTGGTTAAAGCCAAAGATTATTTCTAAGAGCACTTTTTCGGTTACTATATAGCATGGGTATTTTTTTTTTCAATCCTTTTCACTAATGAATGATTTAGGACTGGAATTTTTAAACAATATCAAATTATAGGACCTGAAACAAAATTTCAACAACAACTGCAGATTTGTATTTTAAGAGTTTATTTAAATTTTGACACATTTCATAATAACTGCTTTAAATGAAGTTAAAATTATCTAAACCATTTTAAAATTTCATCTTAAGTTCTGTCTCTGCGGATTTTTTTTTTAATAATCTAAAATTAGCAAAACCTTCGATATCAATTAAACATTTAATGAACCAATTAAGAAGAAACTCGAGTAAAAATGATGCAAATCCAATTTGCAGTCGTTCGCGTTGCGAGTTATTTCGAAAGCAATGATCACATTAATCGTTGTGTAAACTGCAAGGGTAGGACAGATTGTGGCGCGTGGAGTCATGCGACGCGGCAAGAGGGCAAGAATTATCAAGAGCCTTCCAAAGCTGACGCCGAGAAGCACTAGAAGAAAAAATAAAAAAGTGGCGCAGCCAGCGTTTTCCGCTCGTGCTGGAAAAGATCCTCTTTCTCGAGGGGCGCCAGCTCGAAAGAACGGGTCTTTCTCTTTGCTGCAGCGTGTGTGAGCCACTAATCGTCATCGATTTTTACTTATCTCTGCGCCTAACCTATTTTTGCCAAAATTTTCCGTGAATTACTCATAAAATGATAAGCTTTTTCAGCTCAAGTTTGCAGTTTTTAACTGTCAGAAGGATAAATTACCTCTCAAATTCGTATCAAATGATACAATTTTTTATTCAAAATTGTTTGAATTTAATAAAATATTAAATTAAATTTTAATAGAAAAATAATTTAATTTAAATAAAGGTTCTTTGCTCGAAGTTTCTACTAAATTTTGTGTAAATAAGTAGGAATGAAGATTAAAGAGAATTATCAAGAATTATGGTTTAAAATTAGTTGTTTCTCTTGCATAATTTTGGAAGATTCTCTATTTGTGATAAAATGTGGTGACGCAAGTCGCAGGCTTAATCACATTAATTTTCGTAGACTAATTGCGTCGTTTCGAGAGTCTTCTTACGTCTGTTGATGTTTATTTTGGGGCGCCGCCTCTGTCAGTCTGTACATCGAGTTACCTGCGCAAATCCTGATTTCAACTTATGTATTTATTTTTGCACACGCCAAACTGCACGAAATCTAGGTCGCGCTGGATGGTGATAGCGGCGAGCTGCGCCTCCCGCCCACCCCCCGACAGCTTGGGGGAATTTCAACCCTTGCTCTAGAAAGTGAAATGTGTATTTCTGGCGAAACTCGATCGTTTCTAGCAATAGCTCGTTCTAGAAATTTTCCTCGACGCAATTAGTTAAAAGAGTTATAAATTTAAGTGATTTTATCGGATTTTGCTGATTCAGCCAGATATTTTTTTATGTTTAAAAAAAACTTATGACCGCTTTGCGTAAAATAATCAAGAAGTTATAATTAAGAAAGAATATTTTTTTTCAGAATTGATTCATCTCACAGAAATCGGTTAGGTACCCATCGTGTTTACAATTGCGATACTTCTAGTATACTTTTAGTATTCATCACGTCTCGCGGTCTAAAACGCTTATTTTTCGGTCCCGCACGCATACATTTGCAATACTCTAGGTTTACTTTTGACAGCTCGCCTGCTGCGCGACCCTTGCCGGCCGCGCTCTAAAATACATGCGTTTGCATCCCTCCCCCTCCTTTCTTTACAAAACACAATAGTTTGACGAGCAGGTATAAAAACCCTCCCTCATAAGGCCCGTGTTAAACAGGTATACAGTTTTTAAAAAGTAAAGCAAGTGAATAGCAAAAGTATAGCTGAAGTATCGCAAAAGTAAACACGATGCGGATCTAAATTTTTTCTGTGAGATCATATTGTTTAATTCAATTGTTGAAAATTATGTGAGTAAAAAAGGAATCGTTGGACAAATGGCACAAGCAAGAATGTTAGAATTCCTAGAATTATAAGAATTAAATGAGTCGCTAAAAATGCACAATGCAACCTTAAATTGTTATTTTGTTTTGATTTATTTGTCCAAATTGTTTCAAAAATTCAACATTGAAAGGAAATAAATTTTGCTGGGGAGAAAAAAAATTCATTTTACGGGGACAAAAAGAATGACAAAGATTTGTTAAAACCTTTCGAAATCACAATTTTGTGGTGAAAAATGGGGAAATTCACCCAATTCTTGCCTATTTCGGAAATTCAGGACAATGTTCTCATTAAAACCAACCAATTTAATATTAATACTTGTTTTTCTGGTAAAGTTTCATCAAAAGTCACTCTTTTAGAATAATTTTCCAATATCCCCTAAAAAGTGACAATATTTTGGTATAATTTAATCAAGCTATTTCATCAATTTCAATTTCTGAACAATTTGGGCGCCAATTTTTCTTTAAATATCAACATTTTTCCATTTGCAACGGAATACAGTAAAATTTTCGTTAGTTATGAAATTTTCAATAAATAAGAGAGCGTTTCCGAGTGAGATTGAGGGGGCATTGGACGCAAAAAAATAACCCTATCTGATTTTTACTTATGCCAAAGGGGATGCCCAAAAGGATCCTCTCACAAATTTTCAGACGTTTTTGGTGTGAAAAATTGACCCTAAATTTTTAGGATTTTCTATAACTTTAGAACAGCTTACGTTAGAAAAACGGTTTAAACTGTTCCTAACTCAGCTTTTCACGCTGAACAACTTTGCTGTTGACACAAAAGTCGTAGGCTTAAGGGAAATCTCAGTTTTTGGAAATTATTTAATTAAAGTCAAATTTTGACGATGATACCCCCCTCCGATTTTTTTCGTGGTATAGGAAAAAATGTTGCCCGTGAAATTTTACATCGACCCGGTAATTTTCAAAATGGTCATTTTCTCAGTTTTGTAGTTATCACGGTCCAAAGAAGAAAAAATCAAGAAAATAAAATTACCAGAAATTTTAAAATAAAAAATTCTAGATTATAAGTTACTTTAAAATTCAGCCTCATCTATAATCCGATTTTTTTGTTCTTTTTCAGGTAGATGATATTTTTTCCAGCGGTCGTCTCGGTCGGCTAGGCTATTCTCTACACGTGTCGCTCTAATGTGTTCTACAACAAAGTGTGCGTTTTTTTTTTGTTATGAAGTTCCCCCCTCTCGAAAATTCTTTGGGGAATCAAAAGAAATCCAACACCAGCCGTCGTCCATAATCCAATATTACATGCACAAGCGACGGACGTTTCCTGCCACCCTAATGATAAAAATTCCCGCGTCGAACAAAAAAAAAACCACTCATGTGACTCTTGTGTTTAATTAAAATGCACATAAACACACGCTCGAAAGTAAAGAAGAGGTGAATGAATGGAATGAGGCGTACAAGGAAAAATACTAAAAAAAACGACGGCGTTCGCCTTGAAACGCGGCTGCAGATCTTTCACATTTGTTTTTTATTTAACAATTTTTTTTTTTATATACTTTTGTCTCGCGGCGCCGCACGAATTGACTGGCGGTATTCGAAGGAGGAAAAGAAGCATTATCAGGATGCTGGCTGGCGTCACGTAGGAAAACCGGAGAAATATAGTTTTTTTTTTCTTCTAACACGTTATCAGCTTTTCGCGGCTGAGCGACTTTTCGGGCGGGGTGTGTGTTCGTTGGCAGCATGCAAGGTTGCGGATTGTATAAATTTATATTTGAGCGTTGCAGCGATTGCTCAGCTGAAAACAAGCCAATTGTGCTGAGGGTCGAATTCTTTGAAATTATCTGCCTCGCGGCGACACAGCCGCGGCCTTCACCTTTCGCGTGCGGGACAAAGTTTGCGACTGACACCACGTGGTCCACCAAAAAAAAAGAAGACAAATGTGTGCGAAATTTTAAAGAGTTGGCTTGGAAATGAGCCAGTTTTTCAGGTCAAAGTTAGGTCGCGCCGGATCAATACTGGCACACTCGGCGAATGGAGAACACGGAACGACGGAACTAGCCAGAAAATCCGATAGAATAATAAATTATTTAAAAATCATGGAAATAACACGGATTTATTATTCTTATTAGAATGAAGAGAAATGCAACGGTTTATTTAAATTATAAATTGATTTTTAATAAACCGGAACTATTGCATCACTTTTTGGAGAAAAAAAAGT